TTTCATATTGGAATAAACATTTAATTTTGATTATGTTTTGTTTGTTACTAAGCACAAAGCTAAACAAAGAACACCGTATCTTTTCTAACCACCGCGGTTATCGAAACCATAATTTTAGCAATATTATCCCTCAGACTTACTGCTGAGCCAGCGGGAAGAGGAAGCAGGGTTGATTATGTAGTAAATGAACAAGAGATGTCTGTCTGTATGGGAACAGAATATGCTTTGCCAAGAGCACGTCTTATTCCGATTTTGTGCCATACAACCGACTTTATGAGAGGTTGCGGAGTTCAACTAAGCGTCATGCATCATATTTGAAAGAATTGAATCATTGCAATTGATACAACGTTCCACGAATCACGGCGTTTTTCATTAGTGCAACGGTATGATATAAACGTTGCACTGGTGTTATCCTTATTATTCATATAATAAGTTTTAAACGTTTGTTAACTGCTGTCGCACGAACCTTTTGGTTAAACACCAGAGAACTTCAGTATTTATTTTTAATAATCAGACTAAGATGGCGCCACCTACCATACATGCTTTCAGTGGAATTTATGAACATTCCGTACATATTGTAATTTTCAGTTTCATTCTGTTATGATAACTTAGTTGTATTCCAAAGCCCTAGTTACGTATCAAGCTACCTTCACTTATTGTAGGTTAGAAGCCCGCTAACTTTTTAAAATATATATATATATATTTATTTAACAGCTCAACGAATTTCGTGATGTCACCCATTTTTGGTACACCAACTGGCCAGTTCATGGGGTTCCTAATGAAGTTTATAAGGTAATAAATTTTCTTCTTGAAGCCAGAGTATACATGGACAGCAGCTCAAGTCCTACCATTGTGCACTGCAGGTAAATTAATATAAGTTGTAACTCTATTGTTTTCCACAATTGCATATTTTTTTTTTTTACGCCGAAACTGTATCTATGTTCATTATATAAAATGATAAAAATTCTATACTCCAAACACTTTCGAAAGGTGGACCTTTCTTCTTGTGGAGCAAACTGGGAACGGTGGTGTAATCAAATGAGTGATATATAAAAGGAGTTGAGTTACGTCATGAAGGTTATCTGGGCTTCCAGGAAGTGTTTTTGTATACTTTTCCTCTATGTTCACTATATGTTTCTGTAGGCTAAATCAGCGCGTTAAATATTTTTTGATAGATTGTTTAGGCAAATGATGAAACTTTGTTGAATGGACAACAGGCAGTTAAATGTTATAGTTTATCAACTAATACAGTATCCATGCTCAATGTAAATGATAATATAAAAGAACTGGACGTTTGAGATCCTTACCGTTGGTGGTTAAAGAAAGACTTCTATGACACATTGCTTTAAATTGTAGTTACTATTAGGGTCTTATAATTGCAGTTATGTTAAGGAATATGCCAAAGTACAAGTTTGAAGATCTATACTAGTGATCTCTGTGTCCAGAAACAAGACTTTATGATCTTTGTGGTGTTATATCATGAAGATCTTTTTTTTTACTTTCCTGTTTCACAGTGAATTCTGCTTTAGTCCTAACTTTATGACGTACTGTGTTCCAAGTTAATAATCTCAAGACCTTACTGCTTCATTTTTCAAAAGCGTGTTTGAATATAGAAGGTTGGTTGCGAATGCTTTTCATTTACAGTATATTTGAAAGTAAAAACTTTACGACCTATAACGATGTTAAATACATTCGAAAGTCAAAAGCTACGATCTTTACTGGTGTACAGTGCGTTCGTAAAAACAAATTACACTAGAAAGTAAACTTAATAAATCAAGTGCTTTCCGAAAGTGTGCTATGGGAAAGCGCTTGGGTTTAGGTTTCTTTTCTGATCCTGCGTGTTTTTCAATATTATGAAGAAATTATATCTGTACTGACTTGCGGTTATATTAAAATAATATATGAATTTACGAACTATATTAATTTACAGTATATTTGAAAGTCAAAGGTCACGACCTATGATAATGTATACTATATTCAGAAGAAAATATTGAAAATTGTTTTGTTGTAAATTGCAAAGAATAAAGTTTGAACCCGTTTAAAAACGTATAGATATTCTTTGAGAACGTGTAAGGTTTGTTTTATGTGCATACAGCCCTGGTACTGGAAGAACTGGTGTGATTATGGCTCTTGATAGCTGCATACGACAGTACGAAGAAAGCCAGACCGTAGACGTCGTACGTTCAGTCTACAGACTCAGACAGGACCGTGGTGGTGCTGTGCAGAGTAAGGAGCAGTACGTCTTTATTTACGAGGCAGGTGTTTCATATTGTTATAGTTTCAAACTGAATAATGAAAACTAGGCAACAATTGTGTTCAAGTTCAGTTATTGAAACGGATTTAATGACTGTTTTCTAAGATCAATTATTCAGATCTACCAAGAACAGTATGGTTGAGTTAAACTATCAAAATCGACTTTACAATAAGCATCAATGTGGGATGTATTTTTTACGGAATTTTTCCACCTTTTGAGTTGCTTTTAGGACAAGTTTCAGGATCCACGTAGAGTTCTTCATCACACCCAAGGAAGTCGACTGTTGTTTGTTTATTTGTTGTTAAGCACAAAGCAACACAATGAGCTATCTATGCTCTGCCCACCACGCGTATCGAAACCCGGGTTCTAATGCTGTAATTCCGCAGACATACCGCTGTGTCAGTGAGGGGAAATAAGATATATCATAGCAGTAGTAAGTCTCTGAACGTTGCTGACGTTTGATTGGTTGTTTGAACAGTCAACTAATCCCGCTATTGGCCAATTTTTGCAGAATATGATTTCAAATGCTGCTGATCTTGCGTGGTTGGTGTTTGTTTTACGTCAATTTTATGCCCTATGTTAGAACAAATATTTGACCATGACCAATCTCTCTGGGTATAATTTAATCTCTAGTTGCGTTTGTACAGTTTTTTTCTGGTTTCTTAATGATTGTTCTCCTTGTTCAAAATTTGTAGAAAAAAAAAAGCATGAGGAATTTTAAGGCTTTCTGTAACAATTTTGATAATATCAAAATAATGTTTTTAAGTGTTTTAAACCCACAAAAAAGAAACCTATCATTCTATAGATACTTGAAGTTCTTCAAATACCTATAGAATGATAGGTTTCTTTTCCGTGATTGTAAAACACCTTTTCGATATCTCACTACTATAAAGGCTTGGTTTGATCTGAAGTTTCATTCGGTGGTAGTATCCAGGGTCACTGATGAGGAGTGGAATTCTCCGAAACTAGTCTGGCCCACAGACACACTCCCAATGAAAGAATAGACCATTCCAAGATTTTACATGTTGTTAAACAAATGTTTAAACAACTCTGTTCCACTTCGATAATATCAGTTTTGGGGCAATCGGAAAACTTTACAAGTAACAATATGTTATTTCCAACGCATGTTATAAATTATCGAAAAATATTACAGCATCTAATGCAAAGGAAAAACAAACGTTTTGAAGTATTTTATAGAATAAATAAAAAATCACCTAAACCTATATTCATTCTATTACGTACGTATTCATATATCCTAAGATGATCATATCAATAATAGAATAAATTCAAAGGTAACAGATTATATAAATTTGTACTTACTGAGAATAGTCAACATGTTTTTAGTCAGAAGCCAATTTCCTTGTCGTTGGTATTAGTAAATTGACTGTTAGTTTGCAAGATGATTATAATAAAAAAATCTCCTGGAGAAGATTAAATAATTTTTAATTTGTTTAGAAAAGGTTTTATTAAACTTACATAATTTCTTCGTTTTCTGTACGTTACAAAACAATCAAAAACAACAGCTACAATAGTGATACCTCAGTCTGGTAGGCAAACAAAGTCTACCGAGTTGCTTGAAAACATTTTTAAAATACATAATAAATATAATCGGGAAATAAATAACTTAGGCAACTTAAATGTGCCTGGTCATTTTACCAAACTAACTGACAGTATTTGTAATGGAATTATAGATTATTTACGTTACAACTGTTGCTTTCTTTGAGATATGTTACAACTATTGCTTTCTTTGAGATATGTTAATATTGCTTTCTTTGAGATATGTTACAGCTATTGCTTTCTTTGAGATATGTTACAACTATTGCTTTCTTTGAGATATGTTACAACTATTGCTTTCTTTGAGATATGTTACAGCTATTACTTTCCTTGACCTATGTTACAGCTATTACTTTCCTTGACCTATGTTATAGCTGTTACTTT